ACATATGTGAAATAAATCCAAACAGAACGATTTGCAAAGCTCACACACAGAAACAGTTCCTCTTCTTTCACACACCTGGGTTGAGTTACTGAGTGATTGACAGGCTTCTGCAGAACTTGAAGACCCGCTGAGCAGCAGGGGAACTGTGGAGGACATGGATATAAAAAGACCTGTGGGAAAATTTATTTATTGAAATAATTAAATATAATCATTTAAGAGACACAAATGCATGTACAAGTAAAATAAAAACGATTATACATTTTTTAAAACAGTAAAATAGAAATTATTTGCTAAAATATATAATTTTCGGAACCAAACTGGAAAAATAAATATGGAGGTCAGTTAAATGATCAAACATGAGGTAAAGTTCTCCTCTTTTAATTTAATTTGTGCGTTTTAAGTGTATTTATTTATTTGTTTATTTATTGGTCCATCTATATATTTCTGCTTTTATTTCTAAATATTCGGTCCAACATCTCAAACATGCATTGAAGCGGGGCTGGAGGATCAGGATTGGGCTTCACTGGTTTAAACATTTAATAAATTTACAAAATAGGATTTTTAAAATATGAAATTGTACTTATTTACAGCTTTGGAGCTTAAGTTTTCTGAGGAACCTGCTTATTGTGACGAGCAGAACTCAGGAACTGAGAACGGATATTTGTCGCCACCTGGTGGTCAAATCTGGAAGAGCCGTTCAATCAGCTTATATTATTATTATCATTTTATATTTTTGTGAAGCATTGTGTGGTACTTTTATCTAATAAGTATTTTATATTCTGTGTGTTTTACTGTTTTTGTGTATATTTGTGTTAATTGTTACATGTTACCTGCTCAGGGATGCTTCATCTCTCCCACCTGGATTTATTTCTGTTTATTAAAGTGATTGTCTTTTTTAATAAAAATAAAATAAAATAAAAACACGTGAGGATTTTTTAAAAAGCTGAACGTCAGTTTGGTTCCTGCTCAGGAGGAGGAGGAGGAGGAGGAGCAGCAGCTCAGAATGAACACAGCTTTGTTTACCTCAGATGCCTGCAGATGATGAAGCTGATGGTGAAGATGAAGGAGTGAAAACGGTTCGTTGCGGTTCTGATTCGGTTTCTGTTCCTCTGTGGAGGTGAAGGAGGAGGAGGTGCAGGGGGGTTGTCCTCATCTTAAAGCGCCTCCGCGTGCTCGGCTCCAACATGCTGCTCGGCAGGAAGGTTCTGGGTTCTGGGTCCTGCTCGGTACCATGAGAGGAGCCGGCGGCGGCATGATGGACCTGGTCTGGAGGATCCTCGCGGCGCTCAGCTTCGACTGCTTCAAAGACTCCTCTTCATCAAGGTGAGCTCATCATCATCATCATCAACCTGCTGTTTATTTACTAGGAAGCACGGCCTGCTGAGCCGAACCGAACCGAACCTTCCAGGGACAGATTCCCACGTGATGATGTCTAATTGTGTAACTGTGCAGCAGAGACACACTGTGATTTATTTTAGCTCCAAATCCACACAAACTGATCAGGATCAACGACAGTCCTGGTCCTGGTCCTGGTCCTGGTCCTGGTTCTGGTTCTGAGAAATGCCAGCGTTTTTCTTAATTACTTCCTGTTGTTATGATAAAAAGTTCTGAGTGCAGGGTTTAATTAGACCAGGAACGCTCACGTGCACTCTGTGACCCAGAATCCTGCTGCTCTGACTCACCTGAGCAGGTGAGGCTTTCAGGTCCGACCTGTTGCTTGTAGAAAACCCGGATGTGTGCAGCTTTGTGTCCTGGTCCTGGTCCTGGTTCTGATGATTGGGCAGGAAGGACTCAGCTGGTCCTCAGCAGACCTGTGGGGTCCAAATATTCTGTCACCTGGGCCAAAACAATGTCCTTTTACCTGCTCAACAATAAACTAAACGTTGAATCGTTTAATTAAACAAAGTCAGATTTATTACTGGACCTGTTTGTTTAAATGGATCCAGATCCAGGAGTTTAAAGGTTCTGCAGGCGTCCCTTATTGAAATAAATCAGGTAATTGTTTAGGGATCAATTGGAGGCAATTTAGTCAATTCTGATCAATAAAATCAGGATTTATGTCACTGTTTTGTTGAAAATACTTCCTGTATTCAGACAAATTTGAATTAATTAAAATCAGATTGGATCAAAATCAGCTTTTCAGTAGAAGTCACTGGATAAAAGTGTAAAAAGTTAAGAGCTGGTAAATTAAGACAAATAGTGTTTTGTCAGTATTTGTTTTTGGAAGAAGATTTTACTTTGTGATAAATTGACCCTAATAATAAATAGAAAGTCTCCATCTACATCAAACAGCTGTGCCGGGGGTCAAATAACTAAAATTAGTACAGTTCTTGAACTGAAGTCAGGGGCCACACAAACTCAGTTCAGGGGCCACAAATGGCCCCCGGGCCACACTTTGGACACCCCCGTTTTACAACTTTAAAGTTCCTCATTTAAACATTTCAGATGTTTACTTATATTGTGTGTAAACAGATTATGATTTGATTATTTCAGATTTTACACAGTGTCCAAACTTCAGGTTAATTATTGTTTTATTTAGTGTTTGAAGTTTTCTTACTGTCAAAGGTTTAATTCAAAGACCGAAGTTCTGTTTATAATAGTGAATAAAATCATTATTTATGAGTTCAGGGTTGGTGTCGGCAGGTTTTAGGTGTCCTGGGTCAACACAGCTGGATTATCTGCAGACACTGACCAGATCAGTCATGTGTTGGACCAGAGCAGAGACACATCTAAGACCTGCAGACCAGAGCAGGGACACTAAGACCTGCAGACCAGAGCAGGGACACTAAGACCTGCAGACCAGAGCAGGGACACTAAGACCTGCAGACCAGAGCAGGGACACTAAGACC